TCACTTTCACTCCTGCCAGAGTCCTCTAAATTGGGAAGATATTCTGAAACCCTTCTTCCACCTGTTCTTGAACTGAGATTTGCACTTGATGAGGATTTATGTAATGTATCTTTTCTTTTGCGTCTTCTCCGCTTATTTTCTAATTTGGGTACTGTTCCAGTCCCACCATCAACTTCAACATTATGAGACTCAATGAGAAGGTCACTGTAAGTGCCTAAAAATAAAAACAAAATTAGTCCAAGTTCAATGCAGCAGTTTCCAATTTATTTCTGACCAACATAATCACCCGACATATTTGGGCTTCCCATGCAACAATGTTCGCTGTGAAGACAGAAATACACATGTCAAAATACATGTACAGCGTCCATAAATATCTTACACTATCTTAATATTTTATTATTCAGAGACGGTACAGTTGAATTACTCTTTTATTCAACATTTGCTTTCTTCAAAGATAATGGATCTTACCAGAGATCTTCAGAGCTTCTGCACTAGGCCTACGATTATGAACCTTTTGGGCTTCATGGCCACTCACTCCTTCAGCAGATCTTCGACGATTTGGTGCTATTTTACTGTCCTTCCCCTGCTGAATACGCCATCCAAAACTCCACTTATGTTGTGTACTTTTCACACTTGTGTCTGGCAGACGTCGGCAAAAGTACAGAATAACGCCAAATATTGTCACCTCAATTACTATGAGGACCACATGCTGTACTATAACCTGCAAAATAAATCCACAAATTCACACATGTTCGTAACACTTTGCAAGAAAACAAACTATTCATTTTACAGGCAAACAAGTTTTTCAGAGACAGAATGAATATAATTTATAATTCTATTAAACATGCCTGGCTGAAAAAAATGTCAATTTTTGGTTCAAAATTTTCAATGTAATCATAATGATGTAACACAAATATTTTAATAGGTACAAAATGTTACAATAAAGAATAATAAGGGATTTCTTTCATAAACCAGAAAACAGCTGGCCTTTATCACAAAGAAAGTCAAGTATATGCATGTAATAATAATGTTCTTATATAAAGTCACCACTAAAAATAATTACTATGTTTTACATTTAAAAGCAATACAGTGCACACAGTTTAGTTTAACGTACATTACGAAATAATATTCAGCATTTAAGAACAGATTTGTTAGAAACAGTGTTGCTGAGAAATGCAAGTAAAGAATGATTTTTAAGTGCAGATTGTAAGTCACCAGTGTTGAGATGGTAGATGGTTACCAACTGACTTAAAAATCTCAAATCTCATATAATATTAAAGTCCAGTGTCAACTACAGGTTTAATAAATTACAATTATCCTATTTCCAAAATTTAATTTGCAACAAATAGATTTGTAGATGGAAGAGAAATACCATAAAATTAGTTTCCTTCTCATACAAATTTGTATCATTTCATACAGAAAACAGTACTCTCAGCCGGAATCACTTACAGCTGCCTTATGTTGCCAGCTATCTCTTTCTGAAAGAAGCATCTCAACTGCAAACGTTAATGTTGCTAGCTGTTTCTGAAGTGCTACCATTTCCTCTACACGCTTCTGCTCACGTTCCTCTCCCTTGCGACTTTCTTCTGCCACAGCAACAAGAGTACGGTTGAACGCTCGCTGCATTTCTTCCACTTGTCTTTTGTAACGTCTGCTAAGTTCTTCTAGGTACTGCCCACTTAGAGACATATTGCGTTCCAAAGCCTAAAATAAATACACACAGCATAAAAGTGAAACAATTTGCCACGCTGTAAAGGGTTCAACATTCTACCAGGCCATAAATGTGAATTCCTACAGGAATTTGTTTAAACTACAAACATTGCATGTCTAAAGGAACGTTCTGATTTCAGAAGGTAATCAAAAGGCAATATGGCATGATGAAAACAAGTCTGAAATGGACAGACAAATGCTTTGATTCCAAATGGCTTTCATTTTCATTCTGCTTCTTCGCATTATCTTTTCACTACACTACCAGCACCTGTAGCCAATGTAATTACAGAAATGCATTAACATAAAAGAACAAGGTTTTTGAAAATTTAAAACTGAAATTACACATTACCTTCAGTTATCATAAAATTTATATATCTGTATATATCAAATTAAGATTTCAAATATATTTTGATTTAACAAGAAAAATATCATGTGCTCTAATATCACATAAGTATACATGAGATAATAACAGAACAATCTTGTACTGAGAAAACTTCCATGCATTCGTACCTACAAAAACTAAACAAAAGATGAAGATTTCTGTCTTCTGAGTTGTTGCGCTGTGTAGTCTGGTGGATGTTAACCAACGTTGCCTCCGTCATCAGGGCGATGAATATTCAACGTTGGTAAACATCGACCAGACTACACAGCGCAACAACCCAGAAGACTGAAATCTTCATACTCACCACTGTGAAAATCTCAAATCTTACATAAACAAAAGATGCCAACTATGTTTTTACCTTAATTCTGTTGGAGAGGCGAACAAACACAGATTCCTTCTGAACTTGCTGTGTCTGTGAAAGAGTTGGTGGAGACACAGTTGTGGCAGTGGCAGTGGCAGAGTTAACAGCTGAACTGCTACTGGTGTCCATCCCCATGTCTAGATCTTTCAGTTCAGAAAGAAATAAGTCAAGTGACAGACTGTCTTGACTTTCTTGATACTTCTCCTCAAACATTACTTCACTCTGTTTCTCATTTCCACCTGCATGTTGCTGCTGTTGGTCAGTTTCAGTCAATGTTGGAAGCTCCTCAGACACCTCCACCTTCATAAATCCACTTTCACGTACTGGTGTCTTTGCCTGAGCATCTAAGCTCTCCTTAAATTTTTCTTGTACCCTTGCCGGACTCTCTTCCTCCGGATAAATTAATACAGTTAAAGTTGTAGGGACGCCAGCAGGAAGTTCCTGAACAGATGACACTTCTGCAAGAAGTATGGTTTCCTTTTCTTGATCATAATCGTCTTTTATAGAAGCAGATGAAGGGAAATCTTCCTTCTTGTCAGGTTCTTTAACTAGTGTTTTAGTTGGTTTTATCTGTGATACATCAGGTGTTTCTGCTCCAAGAGAATCCAACGGAAGAGAAGAAGTGGCTAATCCTATGGTGTAGCTGCCATCTGACACTGAAGAACTGCAGTGTTCGGATGTTAAGCTTGTCCCTAATGTGCATGTCAAGGGCTGTGTAATGACCAAATTCTCAAAATTTGAGTCTACATTAGGCAACTTTCTATCTACACTACTAGTCAGATTTATGGGCACAGTTCCATTTACTTCAAAACTAACATTGAACACAACTTTCTTCTCAAGAATGGCCAGTATGTTGCACACAGCAGCAATGTATTCTGCTGGAAGCAATGCTGATAAATAGTTGCTTTGGTCTGATTGTAAAGAATCAACTCTACTTGTTGAAGGCCGTAAGGGATAAGGTGCACCTGTGCGATGGCTACTAAAATCCAAGCCATAATCCATGCACAGTTTACTGTTCTGAACACTGTTGCACACAAATGGGCAATCAACCAGGGACTGTAAGTATGCCCCTCGGCAGCTGATAAGGTCGAACACTTTACTAAATATGGCATCACTGCAATTGTCACACACGACAATGTGACTAGGACTAACACAGTCCTCACTCTCTGAAGCATCAGTGTGGGTCTTGCGCACTTCAACATTAGTTGTGGTATCATTCTGAGAGTCACCAGCTTTCACCAAGACCTCAGCAGCTTTCTTAACTATGCTCATCACTGCATCTTGTGCACTACCGAAGAGGGTTTTTGGAGGCTCTCCTGTATCAACATCCAAAGGTTCTTCATCATCATCATCATCGGCCATATTGGGAAGTGACTCATGAACTTCAACCTCAGTCTCCAAAACTTCAAATTCACTAGTGCCATAAACACGAAATAGGGAGACAGGGCAGTAGTGCTCTGATCCGTAGTGTGAATGTAGTTCTACCTTGACAAACTTTCCAAACAGGTGAGGATCTAGGTTAAAGCTTTGTATGTCTCTCTCATCCTGAGCAGTAAAGTGACCAACATTCCTCCAATCACGACTGGGAAAGCGATCACTCAGCGATACAGAGAAATCACGTGGGGAGGATGAAAATAGTTCAAAATTGGCCAAGTCAATCTGAAAAAGGAGCAAAATTCATGTATATGCACAATCATTAATTCAGTACTTAATACTCTCATTGAAAACTTAAGTCAACTTAAATATTTTAATCATGTCCCTAAGCCCTATCATACAAACACGGAATACTGACATACACACACAAGTAATAATTGCTCACTTCTACTTTAAATTACATTTCAACATTAACTTTCAACAGATGATGATGGATCACAGATCAAGTATGGTATCAATCCTCAAATGTATGGATTAAAGATGCTGTTTATACATACCTTTTTGGCCTGAATGGCCTCACATAGTTCTACAACAAACCAGAAGCGATTGGCACACGCGTTGAGGACATACTCATCACGTGATGGTGAGATTATAGATCCAGCATACATAGCCTCTGGGTTAGTTCCTACAATCTTCGCACCACAGTCAGGAGACGCGTAATTCTTTGATCGTACCTTTAGACTTCCACTGGTACGATTTGGGCTTCCTGTAGGTGGAGTCGTGGAGTTCTGAACTGCTTAACATGACAACAAAATATACAAAACAAAAATATTATAATGAAATACTTAATGAATGAGCTGGCATAGCTCAGTCAGTATAGTGAATTGCTACAGACTGGACAAACGGGGTTCGATCCCTGATTGGGGCAGAAGACGTTTCCTCTAGCCTCTGCATCCAGACTGGTTCTGGAGCCCACCCAGCCTCCTATCCAATGGGTATTTCCTGGGGGTAAAGCACAGCCTGGGTGTGATGCTGACCACTCACTCATTTCTAGTGCCAAAGTCAAGATTGAGTAGGAGCTACATTGCCTCTCCCCCAAGCGCTTACATGGCATATAGTGGGACAGCTTTACTTTTACTTAATAAATGAAAATTCTCTACATGTTATAATAGCATGGACTAGTGTACATTGGTATACACTGGTTTCAAAATCTACTCTTACCTACTGTAATATATAAAAGGCACTTCTTACATAACTCATATGCCACTCCTAAAGTAGTAGAGTATACACAAATTAATAGGGGCCTGTGTAACATTTTATTTGTAGTGAAATCTCTTTTAGAATTGAAATATGCATAAAAACTGGGGCTGATACCACTAAATGCTGGCATTTTAAACAGAATGGGTAAAGGGTTAAAATTTTGCAAATATACGGAGTTAAGTCTGTCTACAGATTCTGTATGAAATGTATTGTAAAAGTACACACATAAAAATTCCACACATGTGATATACTGATATTAATTCATACAACATTATAACCCAATGGAAAATTATATAACCCGAGAGAATTTATAAATGTACATCAAATTCTATATAATATTTTTCCTGTGTATATTTAAGAGTGCCACATTGCAGCTGTTCTTAAGAATGTTACCTTGGTTACAATTTACAACTAAAACTAAACACCATCAAACAGATCTTCATTATCACATGATGCTCATTACATATTCATACTATTAACTTGGTTTGACCATTTTCATTAGTCTGAAGTCCAGAGATTTTGTTGACATTCACATAGCATCCTGGTTTGTCCACTTTTATAATAGATAAGAAATGTTTGAGAAGGACTCGACCACAATTGCAGTACTTATCAATCACGTAAGAAAGCTCTAAGAAAGAACCCAGACTCTGGGGATACTGGGAACGACCCGTTCTTCAAGTGCCCGAGCATTGCGGGTCCCAACTTTTCGTTGGCTAGATCTATGGACATTCGGTAGGACTCCTTGGACGAGGGATCGGCCCGTCGCAAGGCCTCTACCTGTACACAGGACAGCACAACATAGAAAAACATCCATGGCTTGAGTGGGATTCGAACCCACGGTCCCAGCGACTGAGCGACACAAGGCCCACGCCTCAGACCGCGCGGCCACTGCAGACCCCAAACCCAGACACTGGCAACAAAAACAGAAAAATCACACCCATGCATCCTAATTAAAACAATAACTATTTAATGCATCAATAATGCTGAAAAGTAAACACTCACTCTTTTTCTTTTCAGCTTCTGCTAGTTGTTTCTGTGCCCATTCACTAAAGGATGGTATATCCTCCGACGGTACAGCCTGTTCTGAGCCTTCAGCACTGGGTAATTCTGAATCACCATCTTTTTCAGTCTTTACATCCTTAACACTGTCATTTGTGACGGTGGCAGTTTCAGAAACATTAGCCGGAACCATCTCCTCCAGTTCATCTTCCAGCTTCTCTGTATGAGCCTGAGGTGTTATTTCTATTATCTTTGGTTCAGCGCGAACTACATACTGTTGATCATTTTCTTGAAAGATTTTATCATCAACTACATCTTCCATAATTGAAAGATTTTTTGAAGTTTCTTCGCCATTTGCAAGTAGTTCATCTTCTAGCGGTTTTGCTATATGTGTTTCCTCTGATGAAGGCACCATACTCAAGTTATCATTCCAGGTTTCACTCAGAAGCCCTTCATTATGGTGATGTGATGGAGACACAACGCGATCTTGGAGTTCTGCTGAGACAGTATCCGCAACGGTAAAGACCACAGCTTGTCCAGTTTCAAATAATCTGCAAACAAACCAGATTATTGGCATTTAATTCATATATTATATATTGTACTGATTTTACAGAAGTATAGATGTTTCACTACTCAAATAAATTATGTACAAACACAAGATAGACTCACTTATTAATTACTAACAACAATAGGCTACCAATGCCAAATTTTGTTGAAAAATACCAAACTGTCGTACAAAAATCCACTGTTGACTGACATTGTTTCTAAGATTTTGTCAACCATTTGCCTTAACAGCCATGTTGGGGACCTGCTGCCATTTCAAGGTGTTTAATTTCAAATAAAATCTGCAACTAACTTTCCAACATGTCAAAAGCAAGCAATTAAAATGTTTACATTTTAAAATTGAGTTACTGAAAGATTATTAATTTCTTAGCAATAATTAGGTCTTCTTCCTGTAAATAATTAGTAATCCAAATGAATTTTAGATACAAATAAGTAGATACGGTGTGGAATATCAAACACTGCTATATTCGAATACTTTCATGTGTTCTGGAGTTTAGTGCTTGAGATCAGCTGTTGTAAATTGGTTTCTAATATTACCCTGTATTTCTCTAAGCGAACCCTGGAAGTGAACTGTAAAATAGGCAACACTCACTGCATCACTGTTATCACTTTATTGGCTGTCAAGCTACTGTTTTATGCTGTATCATAAGCTACTAATATTTGTAGGATTTGAGGTTTAAACAGTCGTAAGTCTGAAAATGGCTGTCTTCTACTAATATTTGCTTTATCACTTGCAAAAATGAGTATTAAACAAATGAGTGACTTGAAATTCAGTTGCTTACAGCAGTGGTATTCAACCTTTTTTGTTCGCGTACTCCCAGATATAATTTCTCTTCAACTTTGTACCCCCAAAGTTGTTGGTGTATAATTCAAGTTATACACAGTATAAAATTTACATCTAAAATAAATTAAATAAATTACATTACTGATTATTCAGTGTTCATCATAAAATAATAATTTTTTTTAAATTTCATGTACCCCCTAAGATGTCTTCGCGTACCCCAGGTTGAATACCACTGGCTTACAGCAATTATTTTCATAGAAATTAAGCAAATTACTAGAGCTACTAAGAGAAATATTTGCCTTCTTCAGTGCGAGTGTCACTGTTTTTACATCAATTTAATGAAATTCAACTTAACCTTCACACACAGAGCTGAAAAGAAAATCAATTACTTTGAAAGTTAACATCTAACTTGTAACTTATTAGCAAGGGATGTGCAGCATAAACTGGAGGAAATTAGAGAAACCACCGTCCACTCACAAGACCCCAGATTGTGTGAGGCAGACCTCACCGATCACAGAGTGAAGGGAATGCCCATGCCATCCACGTGACAGTCAGGTAGAGCAGGGCAACTTGCAGGAGACGGAAGGAGGCTCGACGACCCCAGTGAAGAACTTTGTGTCTGTCGCAAGAAGACAGGTGTGTTGGTGGCGATGCCAGGTGCTTCAAGCTGCATACTGGCCTCTCCATTCCAAACCTGCTCATCTGCAGTAGCTCTGGATATCATGCAATTACATTGCTGTAGTTAATTACCACAAGTTTCACTACAAATACTACTGAATTTTGAAGAGACAGTTTCTGCCTGTATCATCAAGTACACAGAAACTAATAAGAAAATGGTACTGCAAATCAAACGGTAAATTGAAAAAACAGTTCTTGAATGAAGCATCAAGCATACCTGGAGTGACCAATTACTATGCAAATGGGAAAAGGGGCCAAATAAAATGTAAAGTTAGGTGACAACATAGTACCCAAACAATATCTGAGGAGTCATAGACAAAATGTCAGGTACTCAAACTTCTTTGTGAGATTCCTAAGTCACTAGAGGCAAAGATTATGGTGTTACTTACTCCAGTACAAATTACATTAACTTCCAAAATAAGTTCTTTGTTATTTTACTTACGCATTAAAGAGTATTTTTGCAAAAGTCATTTTACTTTACTTTACTATATATTTATGTTATTCTAAACGGTATTTTATTAATTATATTAGATTACTTCTCCCACGAAAGTACATGTTCTGAAGATCGGATAAAGATCAAAATGAAAGTCCCCCAACACACTTCAGTGTTGCGACTTCCTTACCAAATTTCTTCAGCAATGTCAAATATTTCGAAATAGGAAACGTGGGCACACGAAATTTCAGGGTCTCAAGACGACGATTATGAAGATGGCAGTCTTCTGTAGTCTAGTAGACAGAGTGGTGATGATGGAGGGGCTAGCTCTTCTAAAACGTGGTCAATATCTTCCAGACTACATCATCTCAGAAAACAGCCATTAACGAAATGCACGACCTCCGTTTCACTTCTTATACAAAGTATAAAGGACTCATAAATTATAACAAATATATTATTTTGTAAGTTCAGCTTACTAAACTGTCGACTGTTCATGACTTAAAGAGTTTACTGTGACAGAAATTTCTCGCCTGTTACGTACGGTGTTCCCGTATAACACGAAGGCATGCGGCCCATGCACTAGTCAACTGGCCAACCCTACAAATATAGTGTCCCAAAACGATGTTTTCACACTACCATTACGTACGTCAGCATTGTGCGTACATATTTTTGGAACATTCTGCATAACTTCCTTACAGCGCTGATTATCACACTGCGTTCCTTGCCGACACAAATCCCTAAAGTCTTACAGCCACAGCTAAGGAGTTCAGGTTCAAACTTCGTGTAGTAATACCTGTCCTGCCACTCGATGCTAATCCCTGCAACTCTTTCCGATAGGCGACCGGTCGTAAATCACTTTCTGCAACTTTCTAAAAGTTCTGTCTGTCTGTCTGTCTAAAAAAATCAAGGCACTATTACCAACTACCAAATTTCGATGTCAAGTAACGAAAAGGGAATGAGTGAAGGCCAGACATGTGGCAGACCCATCAGAAGACTGCAAAACACAGACCCCATACAGCAAGCTCAGACACCGAGAACGGGTCGATTACTCGAAGGACTTTTTTGTGCTATTCGACACATGGCTGACTCTCCATCTGGATAAAATGGCAGGCTGCAGTGCGAATGAATTGAAAATAGCAATTTGCCATTGAGTTATAACCTACTTTCAAAAATGCTTCAAATGGGCATTTTATTCGTGTAACTTCTCGCTTCAAAGGCACACAATCACCAATTTGGACACTCAAAACCTACTCACAACCACCCTGTGACAATGTCCACCACGATTTCCATGCAGTCTTGCAGTAAAATGGAGATCATAGAAGATTATAGAAAAATGTCTAGTATTATAATAATAATAATCCGTGGCGTAACAGCGCTCGGAGAGCCAAAGCCGACTAGCTGGCTGCTGACCTCACGTTCACATGCCTAAACAGAGGTAAACAATCATCCAACCAGATATAGGGTGACGTGTAGTCAGCACGACGAACCCCCAGCCATTGCTAGCTTTCCTGACCGAATTACGCTACTCATTGTAGCTCCCCAATTTCCTCACGATGCTGGGTTGGCACCGGTCCCAGACACCGGTCGAAAATCTCATGAGAAAATTTCTTCTCCCCCGAGACTCGAACCAGCGCGCATTCCGTATCACCGGACCGAAGCATGATGCCTCAGGTAGCACGGCTACGGCGCGTGACAAAAATGTCTAGTATTACAAATGAAAAGGCAGAATAGAAGTATTAACTCACAAGAATTTCCCGTTAATAGCCAGCACCTCATGAGGCGTAACAACACTGAGAATAAGCCGACGACCTTGAACTAATATTACTGTGACAGTTACAATTCCGCCCCGATTACAGCGCAATAAGCCCAGACGTAGTGAAAATAAGATGCGGGCATTGCAGAATGGTTGTACTGTATGTCAGGAAAGACCTTGACAGACAATAGGAGTACCAAGGTTAGTTGGTCCACCTCCAATTAAACATTCCAAACCAACATTCTCGGCCGAGAACCTGTAGTCACCTATTCAGCAACCGTGCACATGCACACAAGAAACTAACCCTGCTGAAGCACCAAGCAAAAAAGCAGGGGTTCACAACTGTTTCCAGACCGAGGGCCATCGACTCGCGGGAAATTTTCTGAAACTTCGTGGCTGTTTATTAAGAATGTTACAACACGTTCACATGACACTCAAATTTCACAAAATCAATCATTAATGAGATACTGCACGCTGATTTTTAATCAGTAATGTTTCAGAATCGGGTTTAACTTTTCCTGTTACGGTTCGCGTGATCCCTCTGACAATCCCTACTGAACGTCTATTACGTCTAGTGGCGCGTATGTAAAACTCGCTGCATTCTAACCTCGACACCAAATGTTGAAGGTGAGTTATCTATCAATCAGCCATACGTACATAAAACAGCAGGCCGGATGGACCTGAGGCGAATTATCATGGTCACATTGGCCCAAAGAAATATTGCCAGTCGGTACTAGAAACAAACCACGGCCGTCCAATACCACCTAAACAATGAACTCTTTGTGGTCTGAGAGCGCCGAAGTGCAATGAAGAAGACATCAATTACCTCCGAAACGTCTAAATTACGTTCTGAAATTCACCTTCGTAGTCTTTATGTAACATGCATAAGATTACTGTAATCCAAATCTGAAAGTAAGCATTTACTCACGAACCTCTGTTGATTGATAATTTTGTGTTGTTTCAGGTATCGAAAATTTCCCTCCGCTTTGTCATTATGCCCGAGATCTTTAATGAAATCGTACACACTGACTGTCTCAGCATCTGCGATGAAACGTTAAAATGGGTTATTTGAGAAACCGAAGTATTTGGATTTCTCCGTCACCTAGGAGATAAAATGTCAAAATATACGCAGCTCAGATAAAATGTCTGTAGGAGTAGCGTCAATGTTTTCTAAATCTTCATGACTTAATTCGTTATCCATCTCCCGTAAATTCTCGTCCAAGTTTCTTTGAATTGTGTACGTCAGGCGTACGAGACTCATGGAAGTGACAGCACAGCGCATTTGCAGAGCTAGATCAAAATGAAATCGAGTATGGCAGCTTAAACTTTTAATGTAAAG